CTCCGGGCCGTCGTATTCACCCGACTGGCCATGGGTTTGAACATTGCACGTCTATTATTTACCATGCTCATTAATTACACCGACTTAAGGTTAACATGGTTGTTCGACACGGGTGAGTTTGTTGGCAATCGTACACTCATTTTCACAGCTATTATGTCTACCGTTGGGTCAGTATTTTTGATTGGTTTAGTCGCCATATACCAGGAACTGACTGGCACTTTGCATGTGGCAAGGTGGTTTTATAATTTAAAACATTGTACATTCACCTATACGATTAGTCAAGCTCATTTGAGTAAAATCGCTATGTTTATGGGCGTATGTGGCAAGTTACTTCTGAACCCAACTCACACCATGCTCATGTTTATATTTGGCCCTGCGCACCTATTATTGACATTAATATTGTTTATACGACAGCCTACGGCGCACGGATTGATCATGTTGATTGTGTGGAATGTGACAGGTTTGACCACCATGTACACCGGATTGGGCATGGTCATGTTTGGTTTTAGCATGTGGTACGGCTCGGCTGCTTATTTTAAATACAAGTTCAATGAGATTACGGTTGATATACGTGCGGCCATTAGGGCCGGTAATGTGCGCCACGTATTGGCCATAACTCATGAGCACAGCTATTGGGAGAGACAGGTCCGGGAAGCGGACCACTGGTACCGGTGCCTCGTATTTGTTATCTATTATGTGGGAACAGTTGGCCTGTTGTTAACACTGTACGGCACTTACCATAAGAGTATACCAATTATTGGAAAATGCATGTGTGCCGTTTTTATGATGTTTATCATGTTGTTAGTGGTTATGATGATTGTAATGAGTTCATGGATCAGTAGCCGGCGAGTATTTAGTGTATTTATAAACATACTCAAATATGACTCTCGGGCAAAGGGCAGTCAGTCCCTAGCCGATTTTCACAACCGTAAATATCTCTCTGATAGTTACCCTGGGTGTTATCGCTACTATTGTTACGATTTATTCCCAATAAGTAGTTATGAGTTGTATCAATACATATACTTTTGTGGTGTAAATTATGTATTAGTTGTTAATTTGTTTAGATAATTAAATTCTGTATACATTTTATTTGTATTATTTTTAAAAATCATATAAGACTATAATTGCATATAATAAAATTAACAAATAAAATAATATGATGATGCACACTATTTGGTTTGTCGCATGTAATTTAATTATCATTACGATTTTATAATTAAAATAATTAACTATCGGTGAGGCAAACATTTATTAAATTAATTTATTTTATAAAAAATATTTAGAATTTATTGTAATTTTAGTATAAAATGTACTGTATCTTACTGTATATAATACAACTACCTTATATGTGTTGGGTTTTAATCAATAAATAAACAATTATTGTTAATAATTAAGACACTGAACATAATATTAATAATTAAAATAAATATTATATTCCGAATGTTAACTGTATTTCAAAATAATCTGTGTATTGTAGGCAAATCTTAGGTTTCATATATCTTATTGACATTGCTGTAATATTAATTATTATATCTCATTGCATATAACTTTAAAATGTAATAATATAATCATGAAATGCACGCAAACTTACTAACTTTTATATTGCTAAAATCTAATAAGATAATATAGTGTGTGAAATAAGCAGAGTCCATATAATTATTCACTTGATTTTTAAGATAGCATAATGAAAGATATTAAACAATGAAATTTCATTTCTTATTAAAGCTCTATTTGTTTTAAATATCAATTTATATTAACAATTATTTCAAAATGAGTACATTTTGTAAGTTTGAAACTTTTATCGCAACCAAGTTTATATTACCAAGTGCACTCACTTCAACTGACCGGTATAAATGTTATTTGAGATGTGTCATTTGTTGGCTTTGTACAGCGCGTGGGTTTTATGCGGCCTATAATAAAAATCCAATAATTTGGGCCATTATTGGTGACCCAATGTATATAACGGGCGATCGAATACTTATAAACCTGGTAATTGGTTTTATATTCTTACTTGGTTCTATATTTCGCACATTGTTTCTATGGGGTATAAAATGCATTATCTTCATTAATTTATTTGTAATTTAAGTATTAAATTTAATTACATAGATTTATTATTTTTATGCAGCGGATAATTCACCAAGACTTGAATTTTTAGATCACATCGTACGTTTAAGCCATGCATCATGTAGTCATTATATGAATGCTACAAATATTAGAAAATTATCCATTGTATCCAAATTTATCAACATTGTTGTTTTGAAGATCATACTTTTTAGTTGTCCAATATCGTTTTCTCTAGTATATGGCCCATGCTGTATTATTGCCTACTGGCAGCAACAATATGATTTTTATCCAATACCTCTAGTTATATGGTTTATATTTTTAACATTTGGTGCATTATATGTGACCCATTGTTGTGTTTGCATATGCCTTTCTGTTTTTTACTGTTTATTACATTAAGCTAAGATTTGCTGAACTAAACCAAGTTTATAAAGAGATGAATGTTGATAATTTATTTATATTGTTTAAAAAACATCATAAACTAACAATTTTTGTTGTTGACTGCAATAACTTTTTTAAATATTTAATTGCTGCTAATTATTTTTCCGCGACAATAAATGTTGTAATATTATATTATGCATATTTTTATGGTAAGCTTCATATATTTGTCAGGGTATCAAATTTACTTGTAGGTATATTTGCCACCTTGATCATGTTTCTAATGACAAAGACTAGCGCGTCGTTGTCTATTGAAACACATTATTTATACCGACATTTATTTGGTGCTATTCTAACAAATAAATTATTGATTAACACAAAGTTTAAGGTATTTAATTAACATTAATTTTATAATGATAATTTAAATCTCTCTCTCTCTCTCTCTCTCTCTCTCTCTCTCAAAGTTAATTGGTTTTATAGAGAGGCTTACGGAACCAGTAATTGGCATGTATTGTTTAGATCTATTTCCTATTACGACATTACAATTTAATGAGGTATGTGTTTACCAAATATTAATATAAAACTCCTAAATTTTATATAAAGTGTAATTTACAATGTAATTTCTATTATTTATTATAGTATGTAATGCAATGTGTGGTCAATTTCTTAATGATAGTCGGCTTAATGTCCACATATTTTGGTTAATAATTAAGAATATCATTTTAAATATAACTGTAGTCAATATTTTAATCTTACATTATGTGTAATTTTACGTAATTTACTGTAAGATTCCGTTAATATTTTTTAAATTTATTTTTATATAAACTAACGAAAAACTTTAAATAACATAAGGTATTAATGAAGTTCCATAATGATAAATAATAATGACAATATACTGTGTAATAATATTATAAATAATGATTACTTATCAATTATTAATCAGCATGTAAATTATTCTATTTTTAATTTGAACTTATCATGCAAATTATTATCATTAAAATATTCCAATAATTAACAACTAGAAATGACGTTGATCATATTTATTAGCATGTTAATTATGCAAATATAATGACCATTACATAATTTGTTCATGTTCATCAATGTGAGATTTATTTTGTGTGGTTTGTATGTCTTAAAAGCATAATGTTTAAAAAAATTTACCAAAGGTTTTTAAAAATCCGCTACGCCCTTGATCATTTATTAGCACATATTAAACGTGATAGAAATTATAACACTAGAGTTATAATGGATAGCATTGAGACATACGGCGCTCTCACCTACTGTTTTGTATTTAGATATACAGATAATTATATGGCCGGACACCGGAGCAAATGGCGCATGGTCATATTTATTGGTGTTCAACTAGGTGTTTCTGTAACATTAATACGCGGTGTCATTACTGTATTAACTGATAATCAACAAATTCACACATGGTTATTTGATCTAGATACATTTATTGGTAACCGAACATTAATCTATTCGGCGCTTATATCGGCGTTTGCATCGGCTTTTATAATTGGCTCAGTGCCATTTTACCAGGAACAAACCAAGACCCTTTACACTGCTAGATTAATATATCAATTAAAATATAACACGTTCAAATATTCATTGTCACCTATTAAGTTGCGAAAAATAATGGCGATTGGTCACGCATTTACAATGCTAATATGGCCAGTGCACACTGCGCTACTATGCCTATTTGGTTTATCGCATATAATTATCATGGCAATTTTATGGCTAAAACAACCAACATTCTGCAAACTAATTATAATGTTGGTATTTAATATAAGTGGATTATGTGCCACTATAAAATCATTAAGCCTGGTGTGGTGTGGTTTTATTTTATGGTACATATTTGCTAGATACTTTAGCTTTAAATTTGACGAAATTTACCACTTGGTCAAATTAGCTGTTAGGCAACAAAACTACCTTGTACTACATCAAGCCTACATTGAGCACCAGTACTGGGCCCTAAGAGTTAGGGAAGCAAATAATTTTTTTCGGTATGTTATTTGTGTACTCTATTATGTGTTAACAATTGGCTTACAATTAACAGTATATTCAGTCCATCACCAGAATATTCCCATCATGGTCAGAATAATGTGCCTAATTGTGATTGTACTAATTTTTAGCTTAATACTGATTATGTTTATCATGTGTCTATGGATATCAAGATCAGCACATAGACCATGTTCATTACTATATGCCTATTTATCAGGGGTACAGTGTGAGCCCATATCTGTATCAGATCGACTAAAAGTGGTCAGTTTTATTGAGCGCCTGACCACTGGTCCCCCAATCGGTTTCTATTGCTACGATTTGTTTCCCATTACTAGTGATAAGTTATTTAAGTATTTGTGTTTAGGAGCTATCAATTACTTGTTATTTATTGAGCTGTTTAAATAATTTTTAATAACTAGCATGAAGTTACGTTGAATCTCGGTCAAAAATATTGTAAAGTTTATATAAATAATGATAGATATTAATAAAAATAACAAAAAGACATTTATTTTATTTTTATTCAATTAATAATACAGCCTTTCAAGTCATAATATATTTATTTAACCAAGGTCGGGCTTATCGGTAAAGACAACACTATTAGTAGCTGAATGCAATTCAAACACATCGATCTGATTTAGGCCAGTCTTGAGCAGAGGGGCCGGTATATAGAGTGTGCGTTGGGGGCCGACCGACGAGTAATGTCGGCCCACATTAAACCCGTTGACAAACACCTGGCCTTTGGTCCAGCCGTCCAGTCGTAGGAAAGTGTCGACCGGACTGTCCTTAACAGACAACTCCATGCGATAGAGGGCCGGACTGTCGACACCGGCGACAAACGGCTGGCCTTTTAATGTATGGATTTGTTGAATGAATTTCTCTTTCAATTCCAGTGGATATGTCTGATATTTTAACCCTATTTTCCCGTCGATTGTCACGTCTCCGTTCAGTCCCCGTCGGGCGCTGTTCATTACGCCTCCACCGTTTGGTCGGCCCGTATTCTCGACAATAATGTCCAGCGTATGGGCGCTAGTGTTGGCAAATTGCGACGGGTCTACTTCTAGGTCGTAATCGTTGCCATTGGTAACAATACCAACTTGTTTGCCATCGATTAATACAACTCCCCGGTCGGAAGCGCCCCCTATTTTAACCAGACACATAAAAAAAATTATCATATATAATGAATGTGCTAAACTTTGATGTTTACCCTTAAGTTTTAAATGTTTGAACTTGGTCAGGTTTGCGAGCCGGTAGTTAATAAAACCGTAGTGTTGGCCATAACTGTTGCCCAAATCCAATAGCTCCATGTGTTGTGGCTTATCAGTGATAATTGGCTTGAGTTGGCTCAACAATTGGTCAAATGGTATGTAGTCTTTCACATCGACGCGTCCGTAAGCGTGGCTTTTGGGCGGCGCCGGCACTGCGGGTGCGGCCAATTTAGGCAGACCTCGTTCGGTGATAAACTGCTCAATCAATTCTTTAGTTTTCCAGTACTTGCCGTCGTAATCACCTAGATTAGTTTTTGTAAGCAATTATATTAAATTAAAATTAACAATAAAATGATTATTAATTTAGATTATTGTAAGTATTTTAGTTTATTTAATTAGACCCTACAGGGGGAGGGGGTAGCCAAACGATCTTATAAACCATATTCTTTATTAAATGAATTGTGGTTAAAAATAAGTTAGTGAGTAAAATGTGTTAAATAAACTGACCATTCTCAGACATGGGTGCGTTATAATCATAGCTCGTTTCCACGTTCTCGCCGTTCATAAAACCAAAATTAGTTCCGCCAAAAAACATATAGAAATTAATGGAGGAATTAGCGTTGAACAAAACGTCCCTGATCTCTTTCTCGAAATATTTCACATCCATGTGGTGGTGGCCCTCGGGGTCGTTCCAGTAGTCAAACCTACCTGGCCAAAACTCGGTCACGTGCAACGGTTTTTTGGGCTCTGCTTTCCGCAGAGCAGTCAATAGTTTTAGCGAATCCGAGTTAAAATTAATAGTTTCCAAAACACCTAGATGATTTTTATGAAAACAATATGACTTTAGATTGAATAGTGTACATTATAAATGTGCAAGTTTTAAAAGAATTATATCTATATAATTATTAATATAGATTAAGAATGTGCTATGAGAGCTCTGGGAGAGTTTTTACTATGTAAACTTGCGTTGATTTACATAGAGTCATAGTTGTTGAGCACATTCATAATATAGATTATACAAAAAATGCACACGTACAAACTAAACGCAACGCAGTTAGGTGCAGTTACCTTTTTGCAAATTGGGCATGGCGTTGATGGCATTATTACCAGGATCGCAGTTAATCAACAACTCTTTGAATCCGGTCGAGTCGATTAGGTTCTTCATGAATGTAAAATACTCGCGATCACCATCATTATGGATACCCCCGAACTCATTCTCGTACTGCAGTGCTATTATGGGACCCCCTTTTGTGAACTGGTACTCGTCGATGAGGGCCAACACCTTGGTAAAATACCGGCCCACGGCTTCCATGTAGGGCTTATAGTTAGACCTGAGCCGGAGGTTAGGGTCCCTGAGAAACCAGGCGGGAAAGCCGCCCATTTCCCACTCGGCGCATATGTATGGGCCCGGACGGTACACCACAAACAGGTCCGCCTGTTTGCATGCTTCTAGAAATGCGCGCAAATTCAAGTATCCAGACTCGAAATCAAATTGACCAGGGTAAGGTTCGTGTAGGTTCCATGGCGAGTATGTTTGCACCTATTTTGATTTGTGTATTTAGAGTTAGAAATTACATTACCCATAGACTTATCATTATAAGTCAAAATTAACACTGTCCATAGACTTGATGTTAGTCTCATTAAATTGCGGTTTTTGTTGTTTGAATTGATTAAGATTTAATTAACTTACCGTGTTGAGTCCGGCGGCCCTGAATTTGGTCAACCTGTCGGCCCAGTACTCGCGGGGCAGTCGAAAGTAGTGCAGAGAACCGCTAAATAGTGTAATTTGTTTGCCATTTAACGTAAATGATTCCGAGTCGGCGCGCAGTCCCGAACTCACGCCACCCGACGTATAGTATTCGTAGTTTGTGGGCAATGTGGCCACACTACTACTACTACTATGTCCACTGTGCGCGTATAATGCAATTAACACTACTCCGTATATTATTAGTAACTTCATTATGATAAATAAGAGTTAAACTAGATGTTTAATTACAAATATAATTATTGTTTTTATAGTGAGTATTCATCCAAAATCAGTTTAAAGAGTTGGAATTTTTCTTTGATAAACAACTGTTATTTGTACTTATGTACTTATATTTGTATATTTTTAAGAGATTTATGTGAAAATAAATCTGTTTAATATTATATCTGTGGATAATGTACAAAGTCTATGCGATATCTAATAATAATTCTCTTAATTGTTAATAAACAATATAATAGAAATAAAGCTTTATATAGCTTATTTTGAGCTATACTGTATAAGTTATAGAATAGTACAAATACAATTGTATGTAATGGAAAAATTTATCTAGCTTATTAGAGTACAATAATTGTATGATAATTGAAACAGTGTGCCAGCAATAAGATAACATCAATTTGCCATTTAAAGTGCTTAAATTAGTTCATTATTTAATAATATTTAATTGTAGTAGCATTTAAACATTTAATAATAATCATTGTAAAGGCGATTTAATTTATATTTTATTTGTAAAATAACTTACAAAAACTTACTTGTTAGTAACTATTATTAATAAATTATAATTGTAACAAACTTATTAAAAATATGTTTAAAGACTAATTTGTTAACAATAAATTAACAACATTTATATTTTTAAAAATTTAAGTTGTAAATTATTAAAAAATGTTGTTAAACTAATTAATCTTGTAACTGAAATGTGAAATATAAAAAATAACGTTAAATCTATATTTATATCTTTAGTTAAAATATACAATTGATTTAAAATGATTATTTTATCATGTAGCTAAATAATTATTAGACTGTCCTTGAAAACTACAATCAGTAAATTATTATGTTCATTTTTTATTAAACAAAAATTACTACAACTATAATTTAAGATAATATTAAACTTCTGTTATATATTAAAAATTATCATAAATCTGATGTTTATTAATATAAATATTTTGTAATTTTAAATACAAATAATAAGTCAAATAAAAGTTTAATATTTTTACAAATGAATTTTAATTATATTTTAAATTATTAAAAACTTTTAACTTTACTTTCTTAAATGGGATTTATATTTAAATGTTTAATGACTATAAAATGGATATGCGTAATTATATTATTTACTGTATCATATGTTACATGTAATAAATTTATAACTTATCATGTAATATAAATTAACATTATTTATTATAATTAAATAGCCGTTACTATTGAACCTCCGAATGATGTGCTAACAGTTTGGAGCGGCGATTCAATTGCTATTAAATGCTTAAATAACAACCAAACAAATGGTATGAAAATATTAGTATATTATTATTCATATATTAAGATATTTATACGTATAGGCAAAATAAACTGGTATTTAAACAACAATAATTATCCTAATGAAAATGATAATTATACAAAGATCAATAGACAAAGTGTTAATCAAATTGATTACCTAACGTTAAATTTTTCAATTCTAAATCGAAACCACCAGGGAATTTATTACTGCAATTGTACAATGGTAAATAATTTGGCTATAAAAATCATACTTATATTTAATTTAAAAATATAAACATTTTTCAAATTACAATAAACAAGAATAACGCAATAGTATCATGGGCAAAATTAGATTTACGAGTATACACCAGAATTAAATTGCGCATAAAACATAGGCAAGATGACATGGCAGTTAAGCTAGGTGTATCGGAACAGTTATCATCTTGGGCCGATTTTAATTGTACTAATTATGAGGTGAACGCAACGAAAAGCATACAATGGTATCGTAATAGCTATGCAATTAACGTTACCGATAGTCGTTATGCAATAAGTAGTAGAGTGTCCAACTGGAACAAATATAAAGTGTCAAGTACATTGAAAATAAACGAACTTACTATTGACACATTGGGATTTTACACGTGTCAGGCCATTTATACTGACAGATATATTACCCAGATGCAAAGTGTGGAGTTTAGCCCGAGAATTAGACACGAGTCAAGTGATGATCTTGTTGAATTGTGGTTTAATAATAATACATTAAATCAAGATTCTACGATTATTGAAATGTTATGCATGCCATCAATTGATAGCCCAATACAATTTGAATGGCTGACACTAGGTGGATTACGAATATCTGTACGTTGGCTTAATCAACTAGGTGCATTTAATGACGGATTCAACATGGTTGGAATTGTAGAAAGTCACAATCAAAGCACTTTGTCATTTAATTACAACTCTACTCAAATTATTCTGAATTCTCCCATTCAACAATTTACCAGTTTTGAACCATGGTCTAATTTTCAGTGCAAAGCGCGTAACAATATATACGAACAAATTATAACGTTTAATATTAATGTGGGAACACTACCACCGGAACCTACGATTGCCAACTATACGCACGTTAACGGATTCATACGATTGTCGCTAAATGTATTGCCAGAAGTGAAGCCACCAATAGATATGTTTAAGTTAGAGGTGTCTAACGGACAGTATATTTATTTTAACAATACAAATAGGGATGTGTACGAGATTGAGTTAGTGTTGCCACATGCTTTTCAGCTCATTAGACTACGCGCTCACAATTCTATTGGATGGTCACTATTAAAATAGTTTACCATGTTAAATAAATAAATGTAAAATATAATAAATTTATTATATTTTTTGTAATTGTAATTTCCTGTAATAGAATGTTTATTTAGATTAACGTCTATTTAATAATTGTGTTGAAAATTATGACATTTCCAGGAATATATAGTTAGTTCATTGTTTTAAAGTTGTTAAATTATTTATGCTATTTAGGCATTAAAATAACATTTTTGAAATTTTCATTTTACTAAAATGTTCTTCATTTTCCACATTCTTCATATAAGAATTGTAGTAAAAATAATTTTAAGTGAATTTCAATATATAACAATTTGATCAACAATTAATTTTTTAAAATAATATCTTGCCACTTAATTTTATTTACTCTAAAATAGTTTATTAGCGCTAAATTTTAAAATCTTAAAATTATTTGCGGCCACCTTGGTTCCTTTCCTCGTTAGTTTATGTCGTAAGTATATATTCATCTATAAATAGTGTATTACATTTGCTTAGTGTAATTAATCGTATCATTAATATTATGCAATTTATTTTATTTTAGATTTTTACAATTCAAACACAATTAATTTAAAGAACACATTAATTATCACTATATATTGTCACGATATATAAAAATTTTACATTTATATAATAGATTAATATTATTTATACATACGTATATATTGTTCTAGATTTGAACTAAAATTATAATTTTATGTAATCATTATGAGATTTCACATTGTAATATATAATAATAATAATAAAATCTACATTAGTATTGCTGTTTAAAAAATATTATTATTTATTATAATTTTAATTATATCCAAAAATATTGTGTAAAAGTAAAAAAAAAATATTTAAATTTTTTTTACTATTATAGTAAATTAACTTTCATTTATTTAGTAATTATGATTAACACTTTGTGTTAAAAAATTTTAATCTATTAATTAATTAGTAAATTAAGTATTAATTAATATAATGTCCTTATTAAGCAATTTGGAAAACTTTATAACTAAAGCGAGAATTTTGTATCCAAATGATAAAATCAAATATGGTAGACAGTGCTACTATTATTGTATATTTAACTGGATCATTTGCATCCATTTTCTATTAGCCGCATGTATCCAGAATCCCATTATATGGGCAATCAATGGTGACGTACTTTATGTAACTGGAGATCGGATTATACTTAATATAATATTATTTTTACTTGCATTGTATGGATCATTATTACGTACACTCTTCCTATGGGGTAAATTTATAAATAAATGTTATTTAATTATTTCAATTTGTAACATTATTAATTATATATAACTGACTAGGCTATAAAAATTCTGCCCTCGGTTTTATGCCACATATAATGCATTTACGTATGGATACTGTCAATCATTACATGTCGCCGAAATATACCAGAAAACTCTATATTATAGCAAAATTTATTAATATTTTTGTTTTAAAATTGACCTTGCTTAATACGACATCACTGTTTGCGGTAGTCTATGGTTCGTGCGCTGGGATTGCCTATTGGCAGCAAAACTACACTTTCTATTTAATACCATTGCTATTCTGGAGTGTAGTGTTAACTCTATGGGCATATCTTGTATCGCAAATTATCGTGTTTGATTACGCGCTTTTCTTTTTAACAGTTTATTACCTAAAACTTAGATTTAGTGAACTGAATGAGAGGTATAAAAAGTTAGATATGGTCGATTTAGATACGTTGATACAAATTCATACAAAACTGACCAAGTTCACTGTACGATGTAATAAATTTTTAAAATACCTTATGGCTACTTCCCAAATGAACGCTACAATCGCAGCCATAGCATTATATTATGCTTTTTTCTATGGCAAGGGTAACATTTTGTTTAGAGTGGCGTACCTTATAGTTGGTATATTTGGTACAATATTAATGTATTTGATGACCAGATCGAGTGCCTCCCTGTCTACCAAAGCTCATCATTTTTACACACATTTATTTTCTCTATATACTGAAAATAAATGCAAAAACTCGATAAAATATAAGGTTTGTTATAAAATATTACAATCTTATTTGTACAATTATTAATACAACTTTATTTTAATCTCTCTCTCTCTCTCAGTTATTGGCATTTATTGAACACTTGACAAAACCAGTGATTGGTATCTATTGTTTAGATTTGTTTCCCATAACGAGTCTAGAGTTTTGTCAGGTTTGCATAAATAACGATTACATTGTATTAAATATACTATAGTTAATGATTGTTATTCCAGTACGTGATTCAATGCATAACAAGTTTTTTATTAACCGTCGGTTTAATTGCAACATATTTTAACTAATTTGAAGGTTGACTTAACATTAGTATTCAACATTGTATATACATGTAACTGATAATAATAAATTGATTTTAACAGAATAATTATGTTTACACGAATAAAAATGTTATTGT